TTACGCAGCTCAAGTTAAGTTTGAAGGCTTGCTGTGTCAAGTTGTCGATGGTGCAGTGGATAGGTAAGTTGCGTCATATATGGGAGGTCATGGGTTCGGTTCCTTGACAAGTTCGCATTTTTGCATTTTTTCGGAACATCTTCTGTGAGTTCAGAGAATACTTCTATCCGTTATTTTGTCAGCTTGGCTCTTACTTGCAAAGGAAAAGACTTAAAGCGGCAACCTCCGAGATCGGAGCCAGTTTCAGCGTACCCCGCGAGTGCCGGACTTGTCTTCTTCGTGCGCAGAATTGCCTGAAAGTGGCCTACTAGGGTAGTCTGCCCTTCTGAACATGATTATCACATCCGCTCGGCACGAAACCTCCTAGCACCCGTGCCACAGGCGCCAGCGCAAAAATACCCTAAATCAACAAGTTCGTTGAAAACTTGTCAACTGGGGTAGTTTGACCCGCTAAACATGGGTATCATATCCGTATATACGCCGATTGGAGTTTGGAAACTGCTGAGTTCATCTGGTTCCTCATTTTGTTCGATGTCGTTGGCTAAACAAACCTGCGACACAGATTTCTGTGACTTCATTAATTAAAGTCGATCTTTGCAGTTAGCAAGTTGAATATCTGCGGCGACTCGTTGCATGAAGAACGAAACGCGTGTAGCTTGTACTTCGAAGAATACAAACTCATTTTTGTAAGTAACGGCGCTCTTCGTTACTATGTCTTCTACTAGGGATGGAATGTTAGCGACATGGTCCAGCCCTTGCCATTAGGGTCCTGTGGCGCAGTCTCAGGTAGTTATTTTGCCACAAATTTTTACAGCTCTTCTATAACAGAAGGAGCGGAGCAATGATTATGTGAGCGAGCCAATTCGCTCATAAGTATTCCATAATGCTTCGACCTCGATAATGCACTCGTCGGATGGTCGATGATATTGAATAAACACACAGCGAGCTTCGCTCTGACTAGGGTCAATAGCTATAACGCGCTGAGAAAAAAACAATGGTAAACATATGTTTCTGTGCACATCGGCAATGGAAAATGCTCACAACTTTATTACGTGGGCGCCATTCTCGTGCTGTAGAGCTGAAGGGATAATGGACGAAGCTGCCGCTTTAATAAACAATTTCTTGAATGCGCACGACTGTTCGAATTCAAAATCAAGGTGATGTTTTGAACGTGGGGAACGATACATAGTGGTTTGGGAAGCCATCTGATGCGCAAGTCAGGCCTTGGTATTCTCAATGACAAGTGTCAATCGAGGGAGAGGGCTTGGATGACCAGGTGCAAATGCCTCATCTGGGGTTTGATCCCCGAATCGTGCCCGATGTACGCGGACTACGTGGCTTCGTGAGAAATTAGGTGTGGCAAGATAAGAGGAAATCGAAGTGAAAACAAATTTTGCAACAAGTTGACACGACCCAGCCCCTTCACTTCATTTTTCCATGGTTGTTGCTGGGTAAGGAATATTCTTTTGAGTGTTAGATTTGTTCAATCGATATCTCAGGCGCAGTCTAGTTAATTCTGTGAGTGGGATGTGATGTGAGCAAGAGGAGCAGCTGAAACTATATTTTTTCCCTCATTCTAACATATCTTGACATTTGAACACCTTGTCGATATGTCAACTTCCGTATGCAGGAGTGCGCATATAAACTCGTGGAGGAGTGAGCGGGCACGTCTTCTATCAACCTTTAAGCAGTCTTCTAGCTTTTCTCTATTATAAGTTCTTTCAAATTAAACGGCTCTACATTGCAGGATGAGGATTCTCATACTCACTCTACTTGTGGCTATGTGCGTCAGCGCTGGCTTCATCGACCTCAAGCCCGGGAGCCTTAAAATCCTTATCAAAGAAAAGTGAAAAAGACTATGGACCGCATCAAACAGGTATAGTGCTTCATGCAGAGGTTGTATGGAATTCAATGATCAACTGACTATGAACACCAAAAGGTTTTCAACAACAACATGCTCGATTCCGGAAGAAGTTGAGTGGACACAAAGAAAGATCCTGCAAAAGCTTACTTTAACCGCAGTTCAGAGAAAAGAGCTCACAGAGAGACTGAAGGTTTGTCCTATCAACACGTTAGCTCCCGGTCAAGCATATACGAAACATTTCAGCTGTTCGAAAAACAACTGATGCAGTTTCACAAGCGGGAGACTCAATTGAAGAGATCAACATTAGAAGCCAATAGCAAATGCGTTGTTCCAGGGAGATATGGTTCTCTCGAAGTTCGTTTCTCTAAATATTTTTTTATGGATCCGATAGCAAAAATTTATGTTATTTAGAGAGCAACAGGATCAAATTAATGGGATGTCAGTGGCGCACGTCAAAAGCGTCAAGTGTACCATGATAAAACTTACCCTGGCAAAAGATGGTCAAAAGGGGTTAACTACTTCTTCGATAACGGCATAAGTCAGTTGCCCGCCCGTTCTGCTGCTCATGTGCACGGAATAAAAACGTTTCTCCCTTTTCGTTTCTCCCTTGTTTAGGTGAAGAGGTGAAACGTGTATTCACAAAAGCGGCAGAACAGTGGATGGACAACACATGCATTAACTTCACGCTAAGCGAATCTTGTAAAGGTTCAAATGATTGAGAGCACAGCGAACGCTCGTTGAACCATAGCGTTCTTGCAGGTGACAGCATTCGTGTGATCAACACTTGGCTCTGGCTGCGAATCGGTATGGGCTTAACTACCTTCCGTCAGACAATAACACCTAGCCGTGTTTTTATTTAGTTTCAGTATTCTCTTCCAGGTCGGAACAGCTGCCCATGAGATTGGTCATGCCCTTGGTTTCTTCCACACGCATTCAAGACATGATCGTGACAAGTATATCACAGTAGACAAAGAAAATTAAGGTAAGATTGTGTGAATGTCACAGAAGAATTGGAACACTGCTATTAATTCAGCCTGACTGGCTTGACCAATTCTTACTGGAGACGACTGAAACCAATAACAATTACGATCTAACATATGACTACGGAAGCCTGATGCACTACGGAACAACAAGGTAGAGATTGCATGGAAAGCTGGTTTTATTGTGAAGCAAAGTATGATTCTCAGTGCTACCCGCAACGAAAAACCTACTATGGTACCTACTCCGGATGCACGGTACGGAGAAACTCTGGGATCTCCTTTCATTTCCTTCTATGATTTGCTTATGCTCAACAAGTACTACAATTGCATGTGTGAGTGATATCTTTGGGTTGATGGTTCTTTGGGTTGATTCGCACTCAGGTGCCCATAAGTGATAGTATTCCAGACGCATGCAAAGGAACGAAAACGGTGTGTCAGAATGAGGGATTCCCTAATCCTCGTCCGTTGCTCAGAATGCATATGTCCCAAGCGGGTATGGTGGAAAATTGTGCGAGAAAAAGTAAGTGTTCTTCTCGTTTTCCTAGCCGAGTTCTTGAAAATCATGTGGAAATGCCATTTAGCCGGACGATTGTGGTAGAGAAGTGGAGGCGACGGACCAGTGGAATAAACTTGTAGACAGTGTAGGCGAAAACACCATTTTCACTGCGCGAGAAGACTTCAAGAAATGCCATTATTGGATCAAGGTATTGGATTCCTTAGAAACGGTCTATCTTTAGTGAGCTCAAGATTTGCATCATAAGAATTCGAAACCTGGAAAAAAGATAGAAGTCAAACTTGCTTATTTCCCTGCTTCACTTGCCGTCGATGGATGCAAATATGCCGGCGTTGAAATCAAAACAGACCCAGACAAGCGTCGCACCGGTTACAGGTACGCTGTTGCAGTAAGATCAAGAGCCACAAATTTTGGAATCCTCAGAGATCATCGACAATGGTTGTTTTTTTTCTTTCTTCCAAGTTCTGCTTCAAGGACGATATCACTACACTCAGGTCGACATTGAACATTGTCCCCGTAATAACATACAACAGACTCTACTTCACAGGAGACAGAGCTGCTTTACCACGCCGTCTAGTAGATTTCTCCGGGGATTCTTCAAAATGAAGCCTTAACATGAGTCTTTTTCAGCAGTAGAGCGTCATAAAAAAGACGTAAGGAACTCCGTTGCTTGTCATGGAATACCCCAACTACACCAAAGGATTTCCCCAGACGTGTTCTCCGATAAGGCAGCGTTCGGTTGTCGGGGCTTCATCTCAACCTGGAACTAAGAATTTGACCTGCATATAGATATTGTCACCTGTTTTGAGCCTGTGAGCAATGCTGCAAAAGTTGGCGCCGCACGTAAAACACGCCTGATGACACGCTCTGGCCGACTCAAGGCATGCTGTATATTTGTCTGAAATGCAAATAGGAATTAAATGGGTCTCCCACTTACGATCATTTGTATGAGTTGTGGGCTGTCTTCTCCTGGTAAAGCAGATTCTGACAATCTGAGCAACAGAAGTCCCAACAGAGACAGCCTTTCTGCAGCCTTCATCCGCAATATGCTGTGTAGGAGAGCGCAATCGCTGACATTGTCCTACACGCTGGGAGAACTGTCCATGGGCTCAGAGGTATAACAGCAAAGTGGCACGACTAGATGGTCTTTTCCCATCAGCGCATTTTTCCCCTCACCGTATGGGAAAGGGAGGCAATCACGCAGATGACAGTGGTGGCAACTCTTCACGCATCCGGTTATCGTTAAAATTGCTTGCGAGAAGAAGCATCTTCCCCCTGATTCTCGGCAGTAGATATCTTGGTGGAATATACTGTGGAATGTTTTTCGGCGCAGTCCTCTGCAAAAGGGAGAGGGGGCACTTTCTGTCGCTTCAAATTGCCGAGCTCATTGCTCCACAGGAATTGACACGTTTTCCTTGCAAGTGTGGGCAAGTAATTTGTGCAAAAACTGGTACCACTTCATACGTTCACAAGTTTCCACAAATCTCCACTCGGATGCAGAGATAGGAAGCAGCGATAGTGCAAAATGCTCCCCCGTTGCGGCCGTTTTTCAATTCGAAATGATTTACAGATTACATTTGCTGCTGATGTTGTGAATATTGCTGCAGTGGATTTCAAGATCAGACCAGTTGCAGGTAATTATCGTCTAAAAGGAGAACACCTCAACTACTCATTGGTAATCGGAAATTTGTGCCTATTTTGTAAGTAAACTGTTTCTTAATTTTTTTCAAGGCCAATATTCTATTTGTACGATTGATCAGTACTATCTCTAAGATGCGGTGGGCATGGTGGGCATTTGAATGGAACCCGGCGCGGCCAAGGTTAGTGAGATATTTTCATTCTGGAAACTGTAATGATGCCGTTGTCCAACATAGAACAAGGTGACAGTGTCTCAAACTGAAAGAATCGCGAGTAACTCATCCTGTGCCGTGTCCAAATGTCACGCCTATCCCGTCCAAGAGATAAGGAGCGCACTTCATTGGGTTGGCAATAATCTGTTAGTGCCATTCCCCCTACATGGTTTGGGATGGAGCTCCGCCAGAACCAACAGGTCATCTCATCACTGATTGTCAAAAAGTTGGCACCAGACAGAGTGAGGAACTCTTACATGGACTCGTCCTTGCGGTCCTTACTGTATGGCACATCATCGTTGTGATTTCCCGTCAGGGGAGTCGCTTGATACGGCCTCCCTCCCGCTCAAAAACCGCATCAGAGGAACTGGGGAGGAGGGGGGGGGGGTCGTACGGACTCAACCAAAATCCCCAACCAATGATTTGCCCTTCAAACGCCTGGTCAGTTTCGCATGAAGTCAGAGCGCGCTGCGCGTTTCCAAGGAATTATTCATGACCGCCCAATGTAATACCATCTTCTGTAAGGTAGGGGAGAGAAAAGCTTTGCTACAGTCGCGAAAATGTGCCCAAAAGCAGGGGACACGATGGCTGGACGTTTCCTACAACGTCATTGAATGGAAGGGCTGCGAGAGGTTTTGGCCATGCCCCACTCCAACCCCCCCCCCCCCCAATGGCGCTGGCTGTAACGACCCGCCCCCAGCCATTGTGCTCACTGTCTAAAGGCAGCCTCCGGTTAGCGAAGGCTTCCTCAATTTCTCCTCCGGTTAGCGAAAGGCTTCCTCAATTTCTATTTTGTTATGATAATTGCAGTTTGATCCGTAATTCTTACACCAAAAGTTATCGCGAAAATAGTGTGTTACAATATGGGCAAAAGTCTTGCCCCAGGTGAAGACAAAGTCTCTACCTAAGCTTTTCCGAGCAACGCACTGTCCTTGAGCAATCAGGATCACC